TGCAGCCAACATTCTAAGTGAAGGTTCTAATTTTTGAAATTTTTTAATCATATAATATGTGGAGTTCCACCGTGTTTTAATGTCTAATTCAGGTTTCAAGTACTCCAAATTTTGAAATTCACACAGTCGTTTTAAAGAATCACACAACAATACTGAATTTTTTATTTTAGACATTACTTCACGAACTTTTGAAACTTCTACATCAATTATTTCTATTCCTTGTTTTGCTGCAAGATTAAGGATATGCGCAGCACATCTATAATGTTTGAATAAAGTATTATTATTTGCCTTTAATTCATCTTCTATTGTTCTACCTGCTGCAACCATAGCAGCTTCATTATCACTGGTTAATCCAATTAACTTTCCCAATAAATTGTACTCATTAATTATATTCAAAATTTCTACAGAAATGTTATGACTAGTATGTCTTTCTTTAAATGAAATAATGTCTAATAAGAAATGTTTGAATTCCCATTTTGAATCAATGTAATGAATTGTCAACCCTAAAAAAGAGTCATTGTTCAATGAGGTCCACATGTCAGTGGTCAAAGAAGCTTTTCCAGGGATAGCATCAATTGTTTTATTTATTAAATTTTTTTTTTGATTAAAAAATTCAATTACCAAATTTTTTAACTTATGTCTATCTGGTAATTTATATCTGGAGTCAAACTGTTTGATCATTTCAATAAAATACTTATTTTCAACAATATTAAATGGTTGTAGATTACCTATTACCCATCTAATTAATAAATTATCTCTTTTATTTCGTTCATTTTCTGGCCAAGGATTAATTACTTGAAAATTAAGCATGGTTTGTAATGTATTTGATTGCTTTTTTTTTATTTTAATATTGTGTAAATTGACCATGTGCCGTTCAATAGATGAGTTGCCAGATTTATCAGAAAAAACATAGCTACACTTTTTACAGACTCTCTTTTTAGAATTGTTGTAACTTATATAATTCCAAATATCTGCAAATTTTTTTCCATTTTTTTCATTATTAACGAAATTAAATTCAGTATCATTTGTTGCTTCTTCTGGATTGTCAACATTAATTATCTCATTGACCAAAAAATTATTATCAGATGGTTGAGGAGTTTCTATTGTTTGTCTCTTCCAAGCTATTTCCTTGGTCATTATAATCATAAAAACTACAATAATTATCATTATAAAAATTATCTGAAACATCCATTTTAAAGAATTAATTAAAAAAATATCAATGTATATTGTATATCTTTTTTATGAAAAATCTTTGTTAAGAAAAATTGTTATATTATTATCATTATTCTATTATTACTATTATTTGTTATCATTAATATTTGTTGTTGTTATTATTATTATTTTATTATTATTTATTATTGTTGTTGTTGTTATTATTATATTATCAATTAATTACTATCTCTATTATTTGCACATATGAGGTGGATGAATTGCTTATAATTGCACAAAATGAATTAAAAAAAAATTAAAATTATTTATTTGAAGAATATTATATCTTAGGTGATCTAACAAGTATTTTGATGCTAAAAATATTAATGTAATAATAATAATTAGTGATGTTTATTTTTTTGAAAAACAAAAATAATAAATAATTATATATTTAATGAATGTTTTTGTAACAAAAAAAATTGATTCATTTATGTTATGAGTTATTATTATTATTATTCAATCTTACCTCCAAGAAACTAAAGGAATTTGTGCTCAACAGCATACAATTACTCCCAATCCAATAAATATTTGTAATGAAAAAATTATTTCACGAAATGACATTATGATTCAAATTATTTCTTAGTCGTGAAAAATTTATTTATTATTATTATTATAAAAATTTTTGTGTTATATACAAAATTTTCAAAATAACAGTTAAAAAATCCGCATATATGAAATTTAATTATTGATGTTTATTAATTTTGATGATCAACCGTTGTGACCAACCCCAACAACATATGATACATACGGCATACGGCTGTTTGGTATTTAGCTGCAAGGGTTACAACCTTTTCATGTCATATAGGTGTTGTAACAATGTTTGCACCCTTACTTTTGATGATAGTTTATGAGAAGATCATTCCCTATTTAAGAAATTTTATTTGCTGAATTAGAAATGATATTCTAAAATTTGAAATTTTTGCCAGCTGTACTACAGTGCAAGATGCCTATATAGTCCCTACAACTTTTATTGACCTTGCAGATCTTTTAACTCCTCCAAAATGGAAATACATGACCAAAAAAAACAAGATGTAATTTTGAAGTTAAGACCTTTCTCTACAAAGTTACATCTTCATGTAGTTATGGAGGAATTAAGTCTCAAAGTTGCACAAGTTTAACAAATTTACTATTACTGAAATATAATTAATGTGTAACAACATTCCAAATCTTTATTTTATTGATCAAGTTATCATCAACAGCTAAAGACATATGCATATTTAATTTGCTTTTCACTGATTTATTACATTTTCTTAAGTCTTGTATTAACTTTCTTCTGTCTTGTTCAATTTTTATTTGATCTTGTAAAAGTGGAGGACCAGTTGCCTCTCCATATATAAATTCATTGATGAGAAATGACAAAATCCAATCAGGCTTCAATTTTGATTTAAAATTATTTTGGTATGCTTTTTTTTCTTTATACAACATATTTAAGATCCACAAATCATAATCAAACCTTACATTTTTGTTCCCTTCATATTAACTATTTTTGTTTAGACAAATATCACTGATCACATTGCATTGGTAATGTAATTGTGATATTAAATAAATAAATAATATTGATCCCTGAAATTCTTGGTTATACCAATGTTCACTTTGTCTGGTTTTGTTGCAAGCATGCCCCATATAAAATGTATGTCAATCAAAAATTTCCCATGGAATTTATATAATATATAAAAATATAAATTTTTTTTATTTTCAAAAATAATGGCAACTACTTCTATAACAAACAAAAAAATTATTATCTTGTGGTTCATGGGCCACATCAATACAAAAAAATAGTGCTTTACCATATAAAATATCAAAAAAACTTTCTCAATATTGACTACTTGCATAGCTTTTTTTTATCGAGTATAATAATTTTTATATGTTGTATAACTATTTTACAAACATGGTCAATTATTTTTTTTAATTATATATATATAACTAGTTATTTTTTTATTATTATAAACAAACGAACACAGATCAGCATAGTGGAAGTTTGTTGTTACATGAAACGTTATACAGAATTCATTGCTTCTGAAACTTCGCCAGTATATAGTTGTTACCTCTCTAAATTGGAGATCAAGTTCAGATCCAATTCAAATCCAGTTTATCACTTACTTTTTATTGCCAGAATGTTTGCTGTGTATTGTAAAGCTACATTGCACAATATAAAAAAATTATTGTAACATTTCAAATTTCCACTAGTGTTCCATGTCGCAATCCAAAAAAGGAAACAAAATGGTCGTAAAGGTGGTTGCAACCAGTGGTTGCAATCATTTTTATATGACGCAAAGGTGGTAGCAACCATCATCAAAAGTTGCAGCCGGTATCCTTAATTTCCACTATGCTACACAGATCATTCTATTCTCAGGGTTGTGGGGTAATGATTCTCCAGATAGACAAGAATTTAAATAGGAAAAATTGTAAGTAAAAGGCAGTGTATAAAATTTGCCGATCAATTTTTGTGCATGTTGTACAAAATTTTTTGAGGAATTGTGCAAAAGTTGTTTAAAAATTGTGCATGTATGCACAAAAAATTGTAAGTATTTTAGTTTTTTTGATTTTTTTTGTGCATTATACATAGAAAAATGTAATGATGCAAAATTTCTCATTGAATTTGTGCACCATATTTAAAATTTTTGTTGAGAGTCTGCACAAAAATATTTATCTTATTGTGCACAGTTTAAGGAGGTTGTGCACATGAATTTTATACACTGCTGTAGATGACTCAAATAATTTAGTTCATTCAATGGAAATTCAATACATTTTGAACAATGAACCTTCAACTGTTACATATTTTGTACTTGAAAAAGAACCTGAAGAAGATATTTTTACTAATGGCTCTTCAATTGTAGCCAAAATTTTGAATATAAGAAAATCTCATGAGGCCTATTCACATTCAAACATTTGCACAAAGTTTCAAATATAATGAGATTAGATAATGCACATGAAAATATTAATACTAATACTGCAAATCAATTAATCACACAAATTACAAGTAATGATTCTGGACAAACTGTTAGAAGAAGAGTGACTAGGTGACAAGGCAGAAAAAATATTGAAAGTGTAGGCTTATATGATGGAGATGGAGCATATCAATCAATAAGATCTATTTTAAATATTTTAATATCACCATTAAAATGTTCATCAACATTTAGTTTTTTTAATAATATATTGAAAATCAAATTAAGTGGTGATGGACATTTGGTCGGAAAGAAACAAAATCAAGTGATTTTAACATTTTGCTTATTAAATGAAGGTGAAAATGTTTTAAAACCAGATCATCAACATAGGTAAATATATTTTTATAATAACTTTTTAAAAAAAAAATTTTTAATAAAAATTAACATATAATTAGCATATGTATTTATATTGGAAAAGAAAATAAAAATTCTTTACAACTTGCTTGGAGTTATTTTACTGATGAAATAAAAGATATAAAATCAAATGGATATATTGATCCAGATAATTTTCATTGGGATGTTGAGTTTTTTATTTCAGCTGATCAGAAATTTCTTCAATTAGTTCATGGAATCAAAGCTCCCACTAAGGTTGTGGGCGAAACCTCTTAATGACTGTCGAAACTCTGTCAAAACTCTAATGAACAATTAATGTGTAACCTGTCGAAACTCTGATGATTGGCGAAAACCCCAAATGCGAAACTCTGCCGAAACTCTAATAAACAATTAATGTGTAACCTGTCGAAACTCTGTCGATTGATTTCTGGAGGAGTTTCTCCCACAACCTTAGCTCCCACCAATGAATATTTTTGTCTTTATTGTGATTGTTCAAAGTTTCAAAGAGCAAATATGAATATTCAATGGAGTAACACTTATAATACAAAAAAACAAAGTAAATATTTAAGTTTATATTATTTTTATTTAAATTATAAAATTATATTAACAATAATTTTTAAATAGGTTTTAATTATGATTGTTTATTGCCTATGATTGATCATAAAAACTGGATACCAGATGAGTTGCACTTAATGCTTAGAATCAGAGATATATTATTAGAATGTTTATTTTCAGATCTTTGTAGAAATTTAAAAAAATTTGAAAATGAAATGGCTAATAGAATAATTGAAGAAACCAGAAGAATTGGAATAACCAAATTTGAATTTTATGATTTAAAAAGTTCTAAATGCAACTGGACAACCTTAAATGGATCAGATAAATTGAAATTTTTAGAATTTTTTCTTGTTTCTAAATTTTATAATAATGAAAAGGGGATTAACATAGAAAAAATGTGGAGAGAATTTGTATGTTTGTATAAATTAATTAGAAAAACTGCATTGAGTGATATTGAAATAGATAATTTTCAAAAAGATGTTAAACAATGGATTAAAACATTTACTAATATATATCGTAGTGAGGATGTTACTCCTTATATGCATGTGTTTGCCATGCATATACCACAATTTTTAAAAGAATTAAAAAATCAAGCATTATCATTGCGTTTGTTTTCTTCAAGTGTAGAAAAAAAGAGTCATCATCATGTGAATATAATATTTCCTTTATTTTTTTTTTTTAAAAAAAAAAGATTTTATATTAATTAATAAATTTTTTTTTAGGTTTGTTTGTTTTTTGGAATTACTTGTATGGGTGGTGGTGAAAAAAAACAATCAGCTGTATATAAAATATTAAATTTTGAGAATAGACAATTATATTATCTAAAAAATAATACACCTTCATCATTCAAAAAAGAAATTATTCATATTAATCCAATTGATTCAATTAACTAAATTTTATTTAGAATTCACATTAAACTCAACCTTACAAAATCCACATTTCATATTATTTAAAAATTTTTCTCTCCAAAGAAATTTGATTTCTGGTTTTACTACTCCATCATCCTCCATCACAACAAAAGAAATTGTACCAGTTGCATTGTTTTTTCTCTCCCACCATTTATAATTATTTAATATTATACTTAAATTATTCCTTCCTTCAATATTTTCAAATTTACAAATATAGTATCTTTTAATAGGATAATAAAAAAAATTTTCTTCTTGAAAAAAAAGCATTGCAAAAACGTTTTCAGGAAAGGTTCCAAAATGAATTTCTTAACACCAACATGATGTCTATTGAATCCCAGTTTTTTTTGAATGTTGATTATAATACATTGTTTTAATTCTTCTATATCATTAGATGATGATAAAACTGAAAAATGTGGAATTATTTTGTTGAATTTATGATATTTGTTTTCATGATTCCTTAATGTAATTTTTGATTTCAACAATTTACCACATAATATGCAGTTAGATTTATTACTTATTTGTTCTAATACCACTGGTGTTGGTTGATAAGGTGGTGTTGATGTTGATTCAGGAGATGATGACAAAGATGTTATTGATTGAGACAACAATATTGATGATGATGTTGATGTTGATGATGTTGACGAAGATGTTATTGATTGAGACAATAATATTGATGATGTTGATGTTGATGATGTTGGTTGAGACAACAATATTGATGATGTTGAAGGATGCAGCGTAATTGCTCTAAATATCATTCTATTAATTTTAATTGTTAACATGTATATGAAAAAATGTATTAAGCCCTTTAACATAGATTGATAATGACCAATGAGTTCCACCTATTGATTGATTTACATTTAAATTGTTATTTATTATCATAAAAAATATTTCTGATGAAAATACTTGATTTGGGATAACATTTTTAAAATATTTTGTATCTTTAAAATATAATTAATAAATAGGTTGGTTAATAAATATTAATAATAATTTAATTAGAATTAATTAATTAATATCCACAAAATTGTTTCCTAATTTACCAGCAGCATTGGATATAAGGTAAATTAATGCTGGTCTAAGAAAAAATATCTGGAAATCAGAGTTTGCTTTTTGTTTAAAATTATTCTCAATATATCTTAAATAAATAAATAAATATATATATATATATAAAAAGATTTATTAATTATACACACTCCAACAATCAAAAAATTATCAATCACTTACTCTATATAAAAATCAATACATTGATCATTGATCCAGTTATAATCATCAAATAATTTTACATCCTAAAATAACAAGACTATTTGTTTATTTATTTATTTAATAATTGTTATATTCATATGAAAAGTTTGATAATAGATCACCTCTTCATAAAGTATAACATCATAATATGACAAAACTTTTTTTGCCATTTTTTTAAAAAATTTGCCCCAAATTTATAATTTAATCGTGACACAAATTAATTTAGTAAGAAAATCCCCAGTCTATTATTATAAGATGTTGATAATTTACAAATTTAAATTTGTTCTTAAGGATACGGTCTCTCGCGTGATCATTCAAAAATGTCGATCAATTTTGTTTAAATGTACAGTATAACTTTTCTCAAAACGTGTCTACTAATTAATAAATTAAAACCTCATACCCATTCTAGCAATGTTTTCAAGTTGTATTATTATACCAGGTTTATAGTCAAAGTTTCTCATCCCATAGAAAAAATAATTGGGCGCATCTTTTTTTTAAAAAACTTTTAAATATACAGTATTGTCTTTTTAAAGGTGTTTAGACACAATAAACATTTTTTTTAAAGAAATAATGTTTGCTCGAGTAAATTCACTCATAGTAAGATTAATTGTTCACTTAGGGAAAAGCGATAAAAGCTATTTATTAATTATCTATTTGTTTATTTGTTGTTTTTTTAATATTTTTTACTTTCAAATAAACGATAATAACGATAATATCAAATGATCATATACAAAGAAAGGATTTAATAATGACGATGATGATGATAATAATAATAATAATAATGGTCGCGTAACAATTCTTTCTGTACACCACATATCGTTTACCATAGGTTTAATTAATGCAATGTTGTATATACACACCCCTACAAAAAGTATCGACTCACTTGATGATCCGCCAAAATAATCGAATAAACAGGTAATACAAATACTCGTTTTTTACTAAGCAAATCGACGCTGTATATTAGTAAGAAAATGTTTGTTGAAATGATTACCATAATAGTCTAAAATATCACATTGGGCCAATTGTTATTGATAATTATATGATGTTTAAAAGTCAAATTAAAATTTTTCGAAAATTTTTTGAAAAAGTAGCACTTAGAGCTATTTTAAGATACGATGTTTTAACACATCTTGAGAACTTAGAAAATATTGCTCCATTTGTTCTCAAATGTATATATATACACGTTCATAATTATTGATCAAATATTCATGGAGCATTGATACAAAACGTAAAAAAAATCGTAATGAATTTTTTATGCAAGACGATTATCATTATGCGTGAACAAACTTTAAAGGGCAATGCGGCTGAAATATTTAACCAAAACTAAATTTTTTTTTAAAAAAAAAAAAGATTGAACTTTCAATTTGTTATTTCAATTAAAAAATTAACAGACTTTGAATAATCGGACGTTGGGAAGCAGATGAAAGCGTTTATGACATTGCTGGTGCAATCAATCATTCTCAGTCACAAGTAACTCATGCAATAAAAGCATTTAAGATCAAACTACTATTGCTCCCCAAAAAATAGAAATGAATTAATTTCTTATTTAATGGATGAATGGGTAAATCTTGATCATGATTATTTGCAAAAATTAGTAGACAGCATTCCTTGAAGGGTCCAAGCTGTAATTGAATCAAAAGGAAACCCAACAAAATATTGAATAAATGAATGAAATATTTATACTTTTTTGATACTTTTGATATAAATTTAATAAAGATTTATTATGTAAAAATATTATACAAACTGTTGATGAAAATTTTTTTTGTTATTTTTACGTTTTGTATTAATGCTCCATGAATATTTGATCAATAATTATGAACATGTATATATATACATTTGAGAATAAACGGAGCAACATTTTCTAAGTTCCCAAGATGTGTTAAAAAATCGTATCTTAAAATAGCTCTAAGTGCTACTTTTTCAAAAAATTTTTGAAAAATTTTAATTTGACTTTAAAACATCTTATAATTATCAATAACAATTGGCCCAATGTGATATTTTAGATTATTATAGTAATAATTTCAACAAACATTTTCTTACTAATACACAGAATCGATTTGCTTAGTAAAAAAATGAGTATTTGTATTACCCATTTATTTGATTATTTTGGCAGATCATCAAGTGAGTCAATACTTTTTGTAGGGATGTGTACACAATTAAATTTTCTTGAAGTTGTTCCTTTATCAGAAGACTGAAAAAAATATTTATTTAATAACATTTGTCAGCATGTAGATAATCCATATAAAGATATTCTCTGTCCGAACCCTAATTAAATTTTATGTATTTTATGTATAGTGCAAGACACCTAGTCCCACAACTTTTTATTGGCCTTGTAGATCCTTCTCTAACTCCAAAAATGGAAATGTA